TATCATCACGTATATTGTTAATTTCGAATTGTCCTTTCACAAGTAGAAACCATGCTTCAGGACAATATTCCCTAAAATGAGGCAACTTAATAGATTTTGATAAATTCGCACTCAAGTTATTTTCATTTGGAAAACCATTAGGTTGTATACTTTGTGAAATTTTTAAGTCTGAGTTTTCATGTCGATTTTCTGTTGTTGTTGTGAAGTTACGAGTACGTATTGGTGATCTTTGCTTTTTTAAATAAACTGGAGAAGAAGTGAACAAAATAAATTTAAGTAATAATATTTTAAATTAACACAAATAATAATTATGCATATATTTATAGACGAAACAATTATTAAAAGCTTAAATAAATGTTAATCAAAATTAATTATATTAATATAAAATTATTTATACTAGTTGTGGTTAATAATTCTAAATTTCTTTTAAAAAAATTTTGTTTTAAAATTTAATTATATTTAAAATGGTAGGTGGATAAATTTCTAAATTAATGTTGTCCTTTTTTGTTAATAAATTTGATTTAAAAACAAATAAACAAAGTCGAAGAGTGAGTAACTTTTAAAACATTCACAAAAGCTGAATGAATAAAAAAAAGACTTCAGACACGATTTTTTTTTTTTTTTTAATGAAAAACAATTACTAACTTTTGTTCTTTTATTACCTGTAACAGCAAAACTAAAAAGTAACTTCTGTTACTGTTGCTGCATCAGTTGTTGTGGCTGTTGTAGTAGCTGTAGGCCTGACTGTTGTTGTTGGGTCGTGGTGGTGACTGCTGACCGGTGACTGGCACACAATGTCCCCTTTGTTTTAATGCTGGCTGGTTACTGTTGCTGACCTGTAAATAAAGTTCCTGTCAATTTTTAAACCCTTTTCGCATTCTGTGTATCCTTGTAACCGGTAAATTTTGTTACCATCTCATAAGCTGGTAACAAAGTATTGCCCCGTGAAATATGCAATGCCAGAATTTGCACAATTCTTCATAGCTGAATTGCTGAATATTTTAACTGCATTACCAACGTTCCTAGAATCGCGGTGACAAGAACTGGTAACATTTTTTGGTAATGAAATTTTCCGGTTACAATATCTTCGGTAACGTGCAGAATATACCGGTTATTGGCAGTCTGATTGCTAACTACCGCAGTTTCATCGCAAGACGTGAATCAGTGCAATGTATTTAAATTCCGATAACTAACTCGATGAAAGCTATACACCTTCACGCATTTTACTAAGAGCTGGCTCGAACTTCACCTCCTGGCAGGATCGCCAATATATCGTATAATATAATAGTGGTATTCATCTAAACCGATAACTTTATCAAGCAGATAATCTTATAAGTTTATCAAGAATGATAGAATACAAGATTGCGCCGTCCTGGCCGTTGACATTTGTGTACCACAAGTAAACAAAGAATAGAGACAAAAGTAGAACGAGTTGAAACTGTTCACTTTACAGCGAAAAACGTGTTTTAATTTTGATCAATGCGAAAATATTGCATTTTTCATCTAATCTATTGGAGAATAGTGAACGTTTTAGTGCACTCCATGCTTTGCAATTAAGGCTGCTGCAGCAAACGTTCTAGTGCACTCCATGCTTTGCAATTAAGGCTGCTGCAGCAAACGTTTTAGTGTACTCCATTGCTTTGCAATTAAGGCTGGTGCAGCAAACTGCGCCAGCATCTGAGTGGGATTGATTAGTTAACTTGCTAAAGGAGGCTGCTTGCTATATACACAAAATGCAGCGATTCGTCGCAGCGCTACACTTGCATCTACGCATAATGAGATGGGGCACCATGGTGCACTTCATGGAAGGATAACAGCGCATGCATATGAAGCTGGTATCCAAATTGAATGGCTTATCTTCTTGCCCGTAGAATTCCACCCACTTTCTCGCCACGGCATCGTTGCGAGAAAAGGAAAAAAGCTGCATTTCGTGGCACTACCTTCACGGCTGTCGCAATTTAATACACGGCACTTCATTTTATCAGTTTTTACACAATCTTCAACTGAAAAATCACTAACGAATTGCAAATTAACACGATTTAAACCGATTTTTCACTAATAATTCAAACTTCTCTATGCCACTGATTTGTAAACAAAAGTTTATTTACGAGTTACCACAACTGTCAAAATCGGCAAAACCAAAGTAGNCCACCTTTGTTTCGCTACACCGTGTAAGTTTATGCACTCTGTTACACGAACGACCCACACTCTCTTTTCGCTTACACATGCGACAATAGTCGTGTTTTCTTTGGTTATAAAGCGCAGTGTCACTAACTTTATACTACTAGCACGGGGATAAAGAAATTATAGAAACTACCTCACTAAATTGGAAAAAATTATATTTACGAGATATCTATTTAAATAAATGTACATATAACATAAAGGCTATTTATTTGAAGCAAGTTATAAGAAACAATGGCAGAATGTCTGTTTGTGTATGAATTCATTTGTCACGGCTACCAAACTTTGCGAATTATCAGTGAAACAAAACAAACAGACGGGATAATAATTGAACCAGATCAGGATCATATCGTTGTTGAATTTACGTGTAAAATTTGTATGCGGATCCCGATTATTGCCTAAGAAAACATAGCTAGAGTTGC